TTAAAAATGATCATACCGCAATTAAAAAAATAGATTTTTAATACTGAAATTTTGCTCTAATGCTATTGAATAATATAATAGCTAATCCTTTTGAAAACAATATATGTAAAATGGTTTTATTCCACCCGAAAAAGACCGAGTGAATTTATTTACCAACCCAATATTTCCATTAAAAATGTAATTTATTTTTTCATATTCTGTCACGATCTATTCGTTCTACAAATTCCGTTTCAATATGACGCGTTTTTTTCTATTATTGCAATTTTGATGGCTAATAGCTGTTTATTATATTATTTTTAGAATCAATGTGTGTTCAATATTCGTTCATATTTCTAAAATAACAAGACATTATGATAACATTCTATATCGAAAATTTTCGGTTTACCTAATTTATTCCGTGAACGAATATATTAACACCCCTATTGGCAAAGATAACATTATGATAGTTACAATCTTAAAGTATAGGTATATATTATATATATATGTAGGTATAATACAACCGCTTGAGCAATGAACGGTGTATTTTTCGTAGCCGCGATATTTTTTTTTTTTTGCGCTAGCGAGCGAAGTATGTGTTTTCCGACGTGAAAAGCCGCGAAGTTGTTTACACTGTTGTCCTGATTCACGTCTGTATTTTCTGCGGAAAGCATCGGGGATAATGGACGATATTTCCAGGGAACTTCGCAACCCCATACCCCTCTCATCGGAGTAACGACGCGAACAGCGAAATTTCCATAGCGCGAATTAATGCGCTCCTCTGAACCGGAAGTGGATAACGAATCTGTTAAAATTGCGCTGGCTACTCCTAGCTGGAGCGCGTACTTGGTACCTACGTCGATTTAATCGTTTTTATGCGCGATCAATGATCATCGTGTTGCTCGAGAAGATGGTATAATAGTATCGATAACGACAGGTAGGATTCTGCAATAACGAGCATATCTGCGAGAAAATCGAAATAAAACGTGATAGCAGCGGAAATTCGAGATAAACATTACATCATTTGCACGGAATTCAACGCTGTACATTAATTTAACCGATTAAATTAACATCATCAATCAGAATTCATTTTGCTTGATTATCACAAAATGTACGTATATGTACGTTTCTCGGTGAATCGATAACGGCAATTTGCATATTTACGTATTCCTGTGCGCCGCTTTTTTGAAAATTGGCTATCTGCGCATTCAAGTTAAATTGCGCGTTTTCGTAATATACGATATTGCGTAAAGAAATATATATATTATATCCCTCTCCAAAAGGTACATATTATTTGCTAAAATATTATATATATCACCGATACTTCATTTAATTGGGGATACGTTTGAGTGTTGTAATTGAGCGGGTAGGACAACTGACAAACTTTAGGAGGTCAATAGTTGCGGTGCATCGAACCTGCGACTAAAAGCTTTGACCTTGCATTCGGCGGAGAGAAAAATTTATTCGTACACACGTCGGAGAAGTTTTCTACTTGTGCACCTCAGAACAGCCTCGCCCACACGCAGGACGGGTCACACCCATTTAATTTCGCGGTTTCTCTTCTTTCATCTCTCCTTCTCAAGTTTCTTCGCCCGTCGCTGTAATCACCTCTGTCTTCCGCTCTCCATCCACCACCTACCAATCCCCGACGTGATCCGCGCGCATTGCTCCCTTCTGGTCCTCATTATACGCCATTTATCCTTCACGCTCTCATCGCTCTTATTGCCCGAGAAAGAGAGAGAGAGACGGCTCGAAACAAGAAAGAGGCAGTCGCTATTTTCCTCTGACGATCATGCACGATAATAGTTCTCGATTTTCATTAAATGATGCTTGATATAACAGTTTTGTAGAATTTATGAGGATGCAAATATTCTACCTGATGGCATAAAAATGTTCTATATTTTCCTTCCACATCTTAATATTATTTCATTTAAATGTATTAATTTAAAATTCCGAGGAGACTTGATTAATGTTTCGAGAAAATGCATGTATACTTAGCTAGAAAGTCTATAAAAAGACTTGTTTTCCACTACACAAGATTTTTATTCTTCTTTTATACTGTTTAGAAGATTTCTTGTACACAACGTGTGTGTCGATCGAGAAGATCGAGTGGTTGCTATGTATTTTCGTTCGATATACAAGTCACGTACGAAAAGGAGTTGTGACCACAACAAATGCAATTTTCCTCCGCCGAATTGCAATCTTGCACTGAATCGAAATTCACAGAACAGTGCGACGCTATAATCAAACGACGAATTAATATTCCTTTACAATAACCTAACATCAAGTTCCGATAAAAATTGGAGAGTTATAATATGCAGTAATAAGCATATTTAAATGAGGGGATAATGCGATAAATAGATTACTAAATTATATAGGGGAAAGTTGCTGAATGCGTTATACCGGTCGCATAAATTGTACTTCATCAATATTTTATATTTTTTCTTAATATAAGCAATTTAGTGCCGAGTGACAAAAATATGAAAAATATGAAATAAATGAAAAGTGCATAACATTTAACAGTTACATCCTGTTTTGTGCGTGCTAAACAACACTTAAAAAATCAGGTTCAAGCGATGTTATTTGAATTTTTGATCAATTATAGAGTTGATCATATTGTCATACAATTTTATTCTGAATTTTTATTTTTCATAAAACAAGATTTATTGCATAATATGATTTATTATATTTATTGTATATACATATTTGCAATTATTATAAAAATTAAATCGATGTTTTTAGAAAATCTATCAGGTTTTCTAAATCGTATCATATCACATTTTATTACAATAAATATACTGATAATAGTAAAATTAATTGATATGAATAAAAATATGTCAGTTGCAATTCAAAAATAAATTCAAATCGGTTTTACTTCGGCGTTTATTATTGTTCTTTATCAATTTCTATATATTTGATCTTTTTCTTTGATAAATGTTTACTAAAATAAGTATTAATGTTACTTTGATGATCTCTCATTATTTTTATTAATAAATTCGATACTTTCAAAGATAATATGGTTTAATAGACCCACGATCAGTTGCCAAAATCGTATCTTTATTACAATATGTTGTGAAAAGACTCGTAATAAATAAATTTATTATTGGTGAAATAAGTACATGAATATCAAGCTACAATTTCCAACGTTTATTTGCATACAAATCAGATATCAAATAAGAAATATAATAAAAAATAAGTTAAGTGATACGCATTCGGTAACTCTCCCCTATAAATTACCAGGTTATTAGATATCAAGTTCTATCATCTAGAATGCAGATATTTAACGACGTCGTTTCGACATGTTCAACTTTATCTCGCTGCTTTTTCAATGCGGGTATAATCGTTACACGTGCAAAGAACTGAAATATCCCATGCAATCTGTCGTGTCAGCTTTTCGTGCAGCAAAATACTTGGCGTTCTCTTGCATTCTTACATGGAATGCGACTCGCGTATGCATACGAAAGAATCGCGGAAAGGATGGCAAGGGGAAGAGCGGAGATAGAAGATGCGATGCATTAGAGCGTAGGTGGGCCTTCACATTTCTTGGCAACGTAAAACGACATTATGTGCCAAATCCAAGGTTGGCTCCATTGGATATGACTGAGGCTCTCTTTTTTACTTTACTATTTCGCCATTTGTACTATAATTCAAGTGACTGCTAATATCGAGAGAGAAAAAGGTTTATTCTCTCTTTTGGTTGGTAAACAGATTTAATAAATCTGAAAAAAATTGCATGAATCGTTTATTTTGAGAATATCGCAACAATCTTCAAGAATCCACCTGAAGTTAACACATCGCTCGTGTAAGTAAAGCTATTCATATAACGGAAAAGTAGGTGACGGGTGGTTCCTTATGGCTAACTCTGATCCCTTAGATCAAAATCTATGAATCGTCTTTGCTTGGGCTCGTGCCAACGTGCACTGCTTTCGCTTCGAACCGACGCGAAAATTACTCTCTCGATACTCGATCAAAATGTCCTACGTCGCCGATCATACCTTCTTATCTGCGCCGATATACGCTACACACATACATACTCGTATGTATCTGACGGGGGCCCATCGAGTACGCGATTATCGAATTACGTCAATTTTCCGATACCTTTGCCAGCATCCGCGACATAACGACGGCAAGCGGAGCATTCCTCGCTCTTCTGAATTTCTAACGAGATTAAACTTAACTCGCTCCTTCGCAGAGGAAGAAGCGCTTTAACGTCTGTCGTCTAAAGGTGAGAGTTGCTTTCGAGGAAACGTTTTCCGAATGCAATTCCGGCGCGCACTATAAATTGCCTGAACAAGAAATCTTTTCTCCGTTTTTGTTAACTGTCACGTCTGCAGACAGTGACATGCGAATCTATATGATCAAATATTATATCTCTTTATTGCTGAAAAGCATATTTCACGAGAATAGATATGAAAATTTTTGAACGATTTTGAATTTTTGAAGATTTTTTGAAGATCAAGATCAAAGAGATGATTTTTCGATACGTTAATACATCTTACAGTAGAACTTTTCGAACCACTGTTGATCCACGACAACCGTGAAGTCGCACTGATGTTGTTCCGACAAAGTTTACATCGAACTGGAACAAGAAGAGCTTTAAGTTCATCCATTGTCCAAGTGAATATAAGCAAGCAGTAACGAAGATTCCGACATTGAAACTAAAGCTCGTTGATTACTTTCTTGGGCAATAAACGGTCGAAAACTTGTCGATTACTTTCTTAAACGCTTCCTTAGGCAGTCGTAAACTGTTTCTTTATTTTTATTTTATCTCATGCTGCGTAAAAGTAACCTTTCCTCGCGAAAGTTTCTTAGCTGTATCACTACTTAACGCCTTATATTTTTTTAAATTACTTTTTAAGGACATACATTTTTTTCATAATACTTATTTAATTGCATGCATCACATATATATTTAATGCAAAACCTGAGTCCATTTTCATCTTATCTCAGAAACTTTTTGTCTATCTCTTAAGACGAATTTTTCTCTTTTCTTCTTTGACATTTTGTGTCATTTCTGTTTTACAGCAACGGCAACCAGGTGACAACGAGGACTGTGACGCACGCAGCCCAACAATCGACTGAAAATGGCCAAAAGCGCTGAGAGATTACCCGGTACTTCTACCAGACTTAGGACCAGGGATGACGGCTGCTGTTCCGTGAATTTCTTGAAATACGTTCTTCACATTTACAACGTGGTGCTGTTTGTACGTATCATCCATTTATTCCGGCACCCGTGCGCGAAAGAAAAGAATATTTTATTTCGGACACACACACATCTACGCAGGAACGCACGTTAACACAGATGAAAGACACGACCGTGAAATCCACTGTCCTTCTTCACGAGAGAATCTCTCCTATCTCTCTTATCCAACGGTCTTCTTCGCACTTTCCGACGAAGTTACTTTAATCCAAGTCTCGTTTTTCCAACCGGTTTATATAGTCGTAGACTTTCCGTCGCGAGACGTGAAATCACTCGACGAGCGAAGCACCGAAGCGTTCATTTTTCCTAACTTTTTACTTTCAATAGCTTATGATCTGAAACTTAGTAAAGCTGATGTCATCAATCAAAAAAAGCAATGTCAATTTTATTAAATTTTAAGGGTTATTAATAGCATATCATGTGAAGTTTTCGTAAAATTAGATGGTTATTAATTGAAGGAATTATTACGAAGTACATCGAGTATTAATGTAGGAATAACGGAACAGCCGAGATATTCTCTTACGTAACCTTTGATATTCAATATCTTAATTGGGTTACTGCGTCAGTACTTAACAATTAAAGAATGCATCTCTCAAAGGAAATACGGATAGAACGGCAGAATGTCCCATACATAGCGCTATGCTGGTGAACACTAAAGTGATTGAAACAAGACGAAAAAATGCGCCATTATTCAGCAATTATTCTCATCTGTCTTCCGCTTTCGCAATTTCTGGGAGATTAAAGCGGTGCGAACGGGATTGCTCATTGTCGTGGGGCTCACATTTATCGTAAAGACGAGCCGTTCTCGGAGCTCCATCGTCACTTGACCGGATGTCCGGCTAGTTTTGCAATCACAACATTTGATATAAAACTGATGAGTGCACGGTTATCTGCCTTTAATTGTTATCGCGAATACCACGCGTGCTTCTAGCGTGAGTTAAATTAATAGATGGGAGAGAAGAAAGAGAAAATAGGAGAGAGAGAGAAGAAAGGAGGATGAGAATAGAGGAGAAAATCATCGCGCATGGGAGGACGTTTGAAACGAACGTTTCTTTGATCGAGTGCGTGCTCTCGATCCTATAAGAGAACTTTATTGTACGTGGGACAGAGAGAGGCTCGAAGGATTAAAGTGCAACGAAAGAAATAATCTCTCGGACCCCGGCGTTCGCCGTAACAGCTCACGCGGGCAAATAATTGGAGCACGGAAGAGCGGATATTGCGCCGGAAGAACAGCGTTTCGCATTAATCGAAAGGGAAGCTTCACGCTCGTACGCGGCTAATTACATAATAATCTCGTGTACGTGGATAATCGTACAATACAACGGATCCTGCGAGTCATTAATCTTGTATAGTAAATTAACGTTGATCATTCTGACGAAGGTGTATCATGTTATACAGAGTGTACTCGAAAAATAGTAGCTCTAGATTGCTGCGGGGTTATAAGCGCATAAGATGCAAGAGACGCTCGCTCGGATTACTAGAGGGGGGGTTAAGAGATTCCTTATTTTTTGAAAATGCAACACCTCCGAGCGATCCTCTTTCCTTTTACTCCTCCTCCTCCTCTCTCTCTCTCTCTCCTACATTCTCGATATTATAAAAAAAGAGGTATATATATTATATATACCGACATCGACGCTCGCACGAGGTGATACATGGCATAAAATGCTAATAAAGTCCTCGTCGTAAAGTGCAGACACCTTGTATGTTGTCTGGAATACAAGCACGCGAGCAACGTTGTGGCAAAAACGAAGCACTTTAAAGTATCGAAAGAAAAAAAAAAAGAAAGAAAAAAGGGCAGAATGAGGGAAAATCGATCGGTGGTCCACACCTACCGGCTTTATAATTTCGGTCCTAAACGTCGGCACCTCGTTAAAAAGCGTGATGCCGATGGATGATTTTGTGATTAAATAGATGAGGTTCTCGAGACCGATCGACGAGATTGCGGTTCGACGAGATTCGTCGTCGTCTTCTCTTTTTTTTCAAAACTTCGTTCGCCAAAATCATTTTACTTTCTGACGATACTCGCCGTCGAATCTTAGTCGTCGGAATGTCGGAACTTTTAATGAAGATCGTTATCTTCTAATTAAAAGTGGTCTGCAAATCTCGTGCTCTGCCGATTTCTAAAAAAAAAAAGATAGACTGTGACTCTCCAGGAAAGATGGAACTTTTGACGCTATATTCCTACTTATGGAAAAGGTTCGGCACAAATCCGAACATTTCTAAACCTAACTCTGAAACTTTGCAGAAATAAAATACGTGCAAATCTAATCGCTTAGCAATTTTCTGTTTTGGTTGATATACAATTGGAAAATATTCCTTTAAAGAAAATCTCATTTTCTATATTTTGGAAACTAAGAGAACTATAACTATTAAAAAGTGTTAAATATAACCGTTTACGATTTTGTCATAACTGACCTGTGTCGATACGATAAGAAATTTTTTAAATTTTATTTATATTTTTCTTATAATCACTTTAATCTAAAATAATTTTATAATTTAATAACTGAGTAACCAAATAAAGTGTCTCGCTAATTATTTGTAATCATGTACGAATTGGAGATTATAATTTTTCGAAACGCGTGAAATTAATCCTTAATGTCTGAAAATAGAAATTAGAAAGTAAACATCGGAAAATAAACATTGAAAAATACAACAATACAAATAATATATATTCGAGATAAATAATGTTACAAGTTATTTGATTTAATTCTATTGTATGATACAAACAATATAATAAAGTAACATTCTACATGAATTAAAACATGAGATAATTTTCATAACACCCAAATTAATGTTTATTTTTCCGAGTGTGTTTACTACATAACTATACTAAATGATTAAAGAAATGGTAGAAAAATATTAAAATAATTTTTTAATCTCGTATTGTTCTAGACCATGAGAAATACGTAATATAGATAAAAATTTAACAGTTACATCCTGTTTTGTGCATGTTAATAATACGTAAAAAATTTAGTATAATTGATGTTAATTTTTGACGAGATTTTTGATTTATGTAACTTATATATAATAATATAATCGTGCAATTTTATTCTAAATTTTTATATTTTCATATAAAAGAAGGTTTATTTTATTAAATTTATAATATTACTGTAATATTTTAATCTACAATATCATTATAATGTTTACATTAGTAGAGTATTTTACATTAATTACATATTGCATATACATATTTGCAATTATTATACAGATTAAATCGACATTTTTTTAAATCTATCAAGTTTTTTAAGTTCAGTACAAATTTTATTACAATAAATGATATTAATATAAAACTGATAATTGGTAATAGTAAAATTAATAATTGATATAAAAATGACATATAAAAATAGCATATAAATAAATTAATTTTATTAGCTTTTTTATGCAAGCAGTAAAGTCGATAGTTTGTGTTATATTGATCACTCAATACCAACTTGTATCAAAACGCGAATGTATGACTCTCAGCATGCCATCGATGCGCATTCCTCGCTTTCGCTAGCGCTTGTGCATCAACGTAAGTCGTGTGGAATATGCTGCCTTAAACGTCTGCTCGTAATAAGGCTCAATAATGCGGGCATAATGTAACAATAACCTGCTTCGAACAATGTTGCCGGCGCAACAATACCGTCCGCTTAACACGTGCGTTTACGCCCATTGATTTCATTCAGAGAAGTGTAGCCAGTGCCAGACCAAAGTCAGTAAATTCAATGTTACCGCCGTCGATGCACCATAAGTGCGTAATTACAGAAATCCTTGCACTGCACTTCAGAGAAATCGAGACAGCGAGAAATGATTTTATTCCAATTTAACAGCGCGGAAGCGTAACCGCGCACGTTTACAAACTGAATTTAGTAGGAAATGTAATTTCTCTCCCGGAAGATACCGCTTCAATATTTGTCATTGTGTGCATATGTACATACGTGCTTCTGGATATTGAAAAGTTAATAGTTATTTTTTAAAAGTATAACTCGCGTTTATTATTTTTCTAATTTTTGTTATATCGCGACAACATAGACAATTATTTAATATTATAATATTATTTCGGATTTTCTAACAGCGAATTAGTTTGAATTTGAATCAAATCGAATCACAGTAGATTCGATTTATTTTCGAATCTGGGAGATTCGAAACAGAGTTTGACGCGAATATGATTAATTTTTTTAACATAATTTTTTTTTAGCTTTTAATGTAAATCCATGAAAATTTGATTCAAATTCGTTTCGTTTTCGAATCTCGAAAAAGGATTCGATTCGATGTAAAAATTTCAAATTTGATTCGATTTGATTGGAGTTTATAAATGCCTGATTCGCCCACTTCTATTTTCCAGATTAAGCTCTTGGAGAGCTAGCTCATATTCTTAAATTTATATTGCATACAAAAATTTATAATATATATAACATACATTATAGTATCTTTGTATGCGATATTTTTAAGTATTGCGCGCTTTTATCAAGATATAACTCCATGTTGAAAAAACTTTAACATACATATGTTGCAATATTTGAATTAAAACTCTTGCTTGGCACGAAGAAAGACGCATCGACTCTTCACCGATTTTTTCCCTGAATATAGTAAAAAGAGGTAATTCCTGCTATTTTTTGTTCCTTCATTCATTAACAAGTAATAATTACACTACGTATGAAAAGGCTCTCTTTCTCTCTTTTTTCCTTTTAATTTGCACATGTACTCGATGTTGACGAATGATTCAATACTCAAGAAGAGTCAGAAAGTTAAATTTAAATAAGAATAAATAAGACTACACACACCCACACACAGACACAATGTAAAGTTTAAGCGTTTTCCTGCGCTTCGCAAACTTTTAATAAAGTATAGGAAAATAACATTCGCGTAAATTCGCGTTCGAAAAAGTTTGCTTGCAGATGCTTAATCTTACTTGCGTCACATAGTACATTTTACCATAAATCGCTGCATGCATTATCTCGTTTTTCATTCTCGTTTTTTTTATTTATTTTTTTTTTTAGCAAGATGCTTCCTCTTTCGACATCA